GCATTTGAATGGCAGGCCTCCCAGGCAATAGGTCAACCCAGGCCTGGCAATGGGGCTTTTCTGGACACCACGTCAACCTGTGCATTTGAATGGCGGGCTTCCTGGGCACCAGGTCGACCCAGGCATCTGAAGGGCAGGCCTCCCTGGCATCAGGTCAACCCAGGCATTTGAACAGGAGGCCACTCGGTCACCAGGTCAACCCAGGCCTGGGAACGGGGCCTTTCTGGACGCCACATCAACCTGGGCATTTGGATGGCAGGCTTCTCTGGCACCAGGTCAACCCAGGCCTGGCAATGGGGCTTTTCCGGACACCACATCAACCCATGCATTTCAATGGCAGGCCTCCCTGGCACTAAGTCAACCCAGGCATCTGAAGGGCAGGCCTCCCTGGCATCAGGTCAACCCAGGCATTTGAATGGCAGGCCTCTCTGGCACCAGGTCAACCCAGGCCTGGGAACGGGGCCTTTCTGGACACCACATCAACCTGGGCATTTGAATGGCAAGCTTTCCTGGCACCAGGTCAACCCAGGCATCTGAATGGCAGGCCTCTCTGGCACCAGGTCAACCCAGGCCTGGAGGTGGAGCCTTTCTGGACACCATGTCAACCCAGGCATTTTGAATGGCAGGCCCCTTGGGCACCAGGTCAACCCAGGCCTGGCAGTGGGGCTTTTCCGGACACCATGTCAACCCAGGCATTTGAGTGGCCAGCCTCTTTGGCACCAAGTCAACCCAGGCCTGGCAATGAGGCTTTTCCAGATACTATGTCAACCCATGTATTTGAATGGCAGGCCTCCCAGGCACCAAGTCAACCCAGGCATTTGAATGGCAGGCCTCTCTGGCACCAGGTCAACCCGGGCCCAGAAATGGGGCTTTACTAGACACTACCTCGACCCATGTATTTGAATGGCAGGCCTCCCTGGCACCAGGTCAACCCTGGCCTGGCAACGGGACCTTTTTGGGCTCCACGTCAACCCATGCATTTGAATAGCAGGCCGCCTGGGTACCAGGTCAACCCATGCGTTTGAATGGGAGGCCTCTCAGGCACCACGTCAAGCCATGCTTTTGAATGGCAGGCCTCTCAGGCACCAGGTCCACCCGCACCCAGCGATGGGGCTTTTCTGGACACCACGTCAACCTGTTGTTGATCTTGGCGGGCTTCCTGGGCACCAGGTCGACCCAATAAACAGGGGACATTTCACTGTTGCTCCGATTAGATCTTTCAGCAGTGTTTGATACAGTTAACCTTTAGGTGTTGATAACACATGTGTTTGATCATGTAGGCTTTCATAGGAATTTTCTTAACTGGTTCTGCACTCTCCTAGGGTGGTGATGGTTGAATGTTCATGGTTGAATGTTCATCCTCCCTTCAGGACCTTTCGCATGGGGCTCCCTGGGATTACATCTTGTCACTTCTTGTGTTCAACTGGTCAAGACTGGGTGGGGATCTGGAGTGAGATGCCATCAGTATGCTGACAATGCCCAGTTCTGTCTCTCCTGAATCTGAATCTGAATCTGGGCAAGACAGAGGTGATGGTGGTAGAAGACTTCATGGCTTGTGGGGTAGGGAGACAGACATCTGTTATTGATGGGGTTCAGTTTCCTGTTGTCACTCAGGTCCTCAATATTGGGGTGCTCCTGGATTCCTTTTTCTTTGGATGTGGTGGTAGCTGGAATCACCTTCCATCTGTCTGCAAACTTTTATTTTAGATTCAGATCTGACCACCATCATCCATGTTTTTGTAACACTGAGGCTAGACTACTGCAATGTGCTCTATGTGCACCTACCTTGAGGACTCTCTGGAATTTGCAGCTAGTTTAGAATGCAGCAGCCTGCCTTTTGACAGGAACAAGCAGGCAGATTGACCAAAGCACATTACTCGAGTGCTCTGGAGTCTGCAGTGGCTCTCAGTAGCTTCCTGGGTTCAATTCATGGTGCTGGTCTTGACCTGTAGGGTAGGTACAAACATTCAAAAAGACCAAGGTGGAATTGATCTAAGTTACATGATTTTCTGTAAGTGGCATAGTTTAGATTGGTAGCAAACAGCACACACAGCCCTTTGTGGGGGGCAATCTTAGACTGGGTTCTGCCATATTTAAACCAGTCTACGTGTGCCAAACTTCTGTTCTGTTATAGATATAGACCAGTTTCCAATCACTTATACCAAGAAAAGGATAACATTTTTACTTGGCCATAAAGCCCTAAATGGCCGGACTTTATGTACCAAAGGAGCTGCCTCTTTCCTGATGCTCCATCCATAGTCCTTAAGGTCAGCTGAGAGCAACCTCCTGCAGGTACCATCTGTGTGTCAAGTTTGCTTAGCTAAAACATGTGGAAGGTCATTTTTGGCTGTTGTTCCTCAGCTCTAGAGCTCCCTCCCCCCTGAGGCCTGCCAGAACCCCAGCCTATTTGTTTTCAGAGGCAGTGAAATACCTTTTTATTTCAGCAG